CATCTATTTATTTGTACAGTAAAAGTATATAGCACTGTAAAAGTATCAGCAAAAAAAAGTTTGTATTTTTGTGTCATGCAAAGATGCATATATGATTCTTATATAAACTGAAAATAGGACTTTCTGTCAGCCAAACATAATTAAAACATGTAAATTCATAATGGTGAACTTCAGCAGAATTATTCTGAGCAGCCTGATATTTCCTTTGTTTGAGGTTTCAGGAAACTTTTCACTTTGATTCCTATCAAAAGCTAGAAAATTTAAAGGAAAGTTACTTATCAGGCATAGAATCATAGAATGTCCTGAGTTGAAAGGGTCCCACAAGGATCATTGAAGTCCAGCTCCTGGTCCTGCACAGGAGAGCCCCAAGAATCACACCATGTACCTGAGAACATTGTCCAAACACTTCTTGAACTCTGTCAGGCTTGGTGCTGTGACCACTTCCCTGGGGAGCCTGTTCCAGTGCCCAACCACTCTCTGAGTGAAGAACCTTTTACTAATATTTAACCTAAACCTCCCCTGACAAACCTTCAGACCATTCCATTGGGTTCTGTGACTGGTCACCACAGAGAAGAGATCAGTGTCTGCCCCTCCTCTTCCTCTCAAGAGGAAGTTATAGACTGCTATATAACACAGAACAATTGAGAACATATTTGTGCAATCTTTCCAGGTTTTTTTGGTTTGGTTTGGTTTGATTTTTTAAATTTTGGTAAGTCAAATGTAACAACTGATTGTTACATTCTTCAGAAGCCCATCAGTAGTTAAAGGTAGGTGTATATGTTCTTTCTTAGGCAAGAATATATCCTCTTTTAAAACAAGGGAACCTTGGTGTCCTGAAAGCTCTTTCTTAGTACAGAATACTTACAATTTTTCCATTCTTTGCAAACAGCTTGGAAGCCTGGAGCCACTAAATCCTAGGTATCAGTAGGAATACTCTCAAGAGTTAGAAAGTCTGGAAACCTATATTATTCTCAATCTTCTTATATTAATTACTACTAAGTTAAAAAAAAAAAAAAAAGTGTTTACATGAAATAGCACTTTCTTACAGGGCAGAGTCTTAAAGGAAAGTCCATAATCAGCTTATTTGTTTTAAGGTAAGAAAGCATTTTAATACCTTATTGAATCTGTAGGCTAAAGAGACTAAGGATTTAAAGTTGGATTCTGGATTATGGTATGTTAAACAGTGGGTGACCATTTTTAGCCATAAGTGCATGGGATTTAGGAGGAGTTGTCACTGTGAAATAAAATGTCAAAGGACTTAAAAGGTTTAACAAGATCTTGAGAGCAACTTGGAAGATTAGAGATGTTTTTTCATTTCTGTTTAACAGAACTGTGTAATATTCAGTAGTTATCCAGAAATTTATTTGGAAAATTGAAGACATTTTTCATGTTATAAAATCTCTTTGTTTTTACCTTACATATAAAAAGGTAATTTAAAATAATAAAATAACAGAACAATCACAACATAGAATATTTTGGTAACTACTTTAGCAGTTGCATTTATTCATGTAATTTTTTCTTGTAAAAAATTACATCTAAAGTAAAAATTAGTGAACTAAGGTCTTTAATGAGAACTTCTTTCCACATTCTTAAAATCATAAATAAATTTCATACTGTGAGAACATTACACAGCCCCCTCAGATCAAAGTGGATCTCAAAGAGGCCAATTTTTGTCCATAGTTAATGTATCAGTGTTATTAGCAATTTTTAGCTTTAAAAATTTTTTGATGATGAAGTAATTTTCTCCTTCATCTTCATCCTGGCCTTACCATATGTCTGCAAAAACCAGCTGTTATCTGTATGTAATCTATGTGTTATCTGTGTATAATAAAATCTAAGGGAAATTCATGAAAGAAATAAAATGTTCTCAAAAATTATTAAGGTCATATGCAATGAAAATTATTCTGATTAGTCTTGAATCGACAATCTTAACTTTTCACTGTTGATTGCTGTTTAAAGGTCTATGTAAACTGATTTACTTTTTTGTGAGCAACATATTATTATAATATATTAATCATATTTCATTAAACATGTTGGTTATATTAAATTACTATAGCTGTAAGTATTTAATTATATTAAATTTATGTAGCAATAGTTTTTATAATTATTAATTATAACAGCTGGGGATGATGATACAGTAATATGCATTATTTACCCAGTTCTTTATATCCAAAGTAATTTACCATTCATTTCACATAAACGCTTACTTGCTTGCTTTCTGTATGGACTAGGAATGTTCCAAAACGCTTCTTATTTATCAGGTTTTTAGACAACAGAAAACAAAAGGAAAGAATACACTGGGAAGAGAAAAAAAAAACAATACAAAAAATCCTGCTAAACTAGAAAAACTAGCAACTTTCCTACTTTATTTCTTTACTGGAAACCTTTTCCAGTAAAAGCTACTTTTACTGTACTTGGGAAAAATCTGAAAAGAAATAGAACACATATGATTTTAAAAAACTGTCTCTGCTATCTCTGTGTCAATGGATAACAAAATGGATAATAAGTGTTAGAGAAGTTTGACAAAAGCTTCTGTAAAAGTTACTGCAAAATAAGTGGTAAAGTCTTGTAAAGAAGAATTAATAGTATAGAGGATGAGACATGTTTTGAATGACGCACATTCTGGTCTCTGGATGGGATACAGAGGAAATGAGAAAATCCCTTTGCTTGCAGAGAAAAACCTGTGACCAAGACACAAATCTCTTTGCATTTGTCAATTCAGCATATCCTTTGTTTGCAAATACATTCTTCAAGTCAAGAGCTACCAGACAAAGTAGATGGGAGTTTCACATCCAGGAAACAGTCATTCTCAAGGAAACAACTTTACAATGTAAAACACAGAGTAAGAGAGACAGAATATAAATATGCATAAAAGATTTCAGTGAATTCAGTGAGGCATGGCTTAGACTATTCAGAAATATTGAAGACATTTGGTTGAGTAGAGAAGAGAAAAGACTGAAACCTGAAATTTAAAAAACAAAACAAAACAAAAACATAATCAAGAAGGGGAAAAAAACCCCAACAAATCAACACAAAAAAATCCAGATTGAAGGAAGAACTCCAAAAGAAATAGAATAAACAAAGGTGTTTTTAAACAGGTAACTGAAACTACATTTTTGAAAGGGAAGAGGGAATGATACTATGAAAACAGAAGGTTGGTCTGCAACCTCTTAGATGTATGTAACATGAAAGAAAATCAGTAACTATCTTTGCAATGACAACATTGTCATGCTTGAAGAGCACAATTTCCAAGTGCAATGCTTGCTAGGAAGAAGCTTTTGAGTCAAAGTATAAAGAAAAACTTAAGGATGTAGTTGATACTTCATTGGGCTTTAATTATGTGCATGTTATTACTACTAATGAGGATTCTCAAGATGAAAGAAGTTGAGGGGGACTGAGAGCAAGCTTGTGAGCAAAGCTTTCAGATGGGAAATAGAAGATCCATGGCCAATTTCTAGGTACCACATCCTCCCTCTTGGTCTGCCAATATTCTTTACCTTGGGAATATGAAGGGAAGAATAAGGATATGGTTCCAGGATAATATAATGATAGATGCTATGATGATTGTGAAATTTTTATGTAGTGTATTCGATCTTGTAAGAGAAAGAAGGTACTCTTATGGAATAAAAGTGAAGGCATATTTTTTAAACAGAGATGAGGCAAAGGTTCCTTTTCAGGAGGTACCAAGTAACAAGAACCCTGACTATGTCGGTAAGATTATTCTAATCTACCTTATTTCTCCCCTTCTTTCCTTCTTTCATATTTCTTTTATATTATGAAATTATTCTTTTCACATTTAGGAAAAATAGCTTTGAAGAAGTTGTCGGAACCAGTCCTCATGCTGAACCATAGTTCAGAAAATTCTGTCAAATTGGATAAATTGTGGTTAGAAATATCTTTCTTTTGATGTATGTAATGGAACTTTGGAATATTTTGCAATAGAATTTATGGAATCCCCTCTCCTGGGGGTTTGGAAAGGCAGATTAAACATCTTTCTTTCAGGAATGATTGAAAGGTATTCAATTTTATCTGTAGTTTGTGCTAGATGATTTTTCAACATTATCTGACAGGTCTGGAGTTTTGTTTATTTGCTTGTTTAATACCTAGCACAGAGGGCAAAAATTAATTGAATTAGAGATAGTGAAGTGCTGGCAAAGGAGTTACTTTTATATTATTTTTGTCTGTACATTTGCAGATACAGTTGTATTGCATTGTAGATAAACTTTCATTTACAGTTGTCCAAAAGGTAAAGATTCTGTAGACCTTTTAAAATGATCCACAAAAGCATAAGAGAAAATTATGTAGCAGAAACAGTGATAAGCAAAGACTGTTGTGTAATATTTTCCAGTAGTGTGAAGAAACTTATATAGTTTAAAAGTCAAGAAAAAAATCATTCACTTATGCTCATAGTTACTATATACCCTTACCAAACCTCATAAAAAAATATAAAGGAATGCAAAACAATAATATAACCATGAAGTGGAGAAAAAAAATGCATGTGCTAAAAATAATTAGATGAATCATACAAATACTCAGTTAATTTTACCAAATTTTATTCTAGAATTACAGCAACAAGTTTGTTTCAGATGTGAATCATTCAAAGCATTCAAAGACTCCACAAAGTCCTACATTAGGGATCAAAAAGTGGAAGGATGATATCTTACTTCCAGTACCCTAGAGGTAAATAATTACAAGAGGAGTACGTTTTCAGTAATTCAGAGAATTCTATCTTCTGGTTTTCTGATGACTTTGGTTGCTATTTAGGGATTACGTCAGAACTAGTGATGCCAAAAAACCTCGGAATGATTAACTACTCAGAAACTTTTGTATCTTTAAGTAGTAAGGTATTTGTTTATTCAATGTTGGGAACAAGCTAACTCGTGCTGGACAAACTTGCTCGAAGGTATCACATAAAATCAGGGTTTTTATATAGTTTTCATACATGATTTTTTTACATATTCATATGATTGCAGCATCTATACATATTGATGATAGGCGGAGTCTAGGCGGGGCTTAGGGCGGTGCTTCTTTTGACACTCAGTTTCGTGGGTACATCGGGCCTTTTCCTTCAAGTTGAGGATCTTTTTCTCATCTTTCTTGCTCTGACCTCTCTACCTTTCTATTGTTCTTGCCCCGATTACTGAAGCTTGGAGAAAACCTTCACTTTCAGCCTAGGCCTGTTTCTCCTATTCAAATGTCTACCTTATCCTACCTTATCGTACTTTATCTTAATTTATTACCCCTAGGCTTATTGTATACTGCTTCTAGTATTCTTCTACTTTTTTGATCCAGTGAACACAACAGAACGAGTCTTAGCAGCACAACCAGAGTAGATGTTAGGGAGGACTTTCTCACCTTCTCACCAGGCCCAGATATCTCAGTTAACTCTTGCTGTTTCTTTCACTAAGAAACAGAAGACACGTGAGCTGATGGAAGGCAATTTTACAAATATATATTGAATATATATATATGTATTTGAAGTCAAAAGGAAGAATAATTCAGTCTTAGTATTGAACAAAAATAAAATCACAGGCAAATAACTTCAAGAAAGTTAGATGAATTAATAACAACTTGATCTTGTCTGGTCTTTGGAAATTCTCTTTCAAAGAGGAGAAGGAAGACATGAGAAGCTAAACAATCTGAAATGTGTCCTTTTACAGTTCAGTGGACAAATCAGGGCCTCCTACCGATGGAAATAATATAGAATATATGGCTATTGAACACTTCTTGGCATGAAGATCAAGTACTATGTACTTTTAATGTACTATCTATTGTAAACAAATACACTGTAGTCACTGATTTGTAAAATTAGTACTTTTATACATTATACTTTAGAGTCTTTATAATCTTCTAAAAAATGTGAAATTCAGTAGGTCACATGTCTCCAGTAGTGATATACTGAAGATTACATGAGTAAAGGAGGTCAAAATGGAAACCCAGGTCTGTGTTTTTAAAATGAGCTTAAGTGGAATTACTTTCTAATGTTAACATTTCTGTTAAATTGTGAGCTGTAGAATCCTCTAAGTATTAGTCATCTGACAAAAACTTTAGTCCCTTGAATTTAAATATTTCTAAATACAAGCAAATGTGTTAAATATATGGGCAAGAATTCAGTCTAATTTGTAATTATTTTATTTTACATAAAATTCATGATTTATAAATTCCTATCAAGTATAGGAACAAAAATCCAAATCCTATCAAAACTTTGATAATAATTGTATCAATCAAATATAATTAAAGGACCTTTTTTTAATAACAAAATCTATTTTCTCAGTTGTACTTGATCTAACAAAATGGCAGGATAAAAATTTTTTCTTGTTTTTTTTGAAAAGTAGTATTAAGCACTCAAGATGTAGGTTGCCGGTTTTTTGCTTTAACTGTACTTAAAACTAACTACAGCTACAGAAATTGTTAGTCAGTCAACAATTTCCTTTGGACATAGAAAAACATGTCTATTTTGTGTCATTTTTTTATACTTACATACTAAATTGGGCAACTCCTTAAGTTACCTACAGTATTTTTCATTATTATTATTGAGAAAAATATTTTGAAAAATTACCAGATTTACCTCCCCTCTCCTCTCTTCCCTCAATATTTTCTATAGCAGGTTAATATTTTAAGCATGCAAACTAATCCGTGTAATGTTGTAATGCGTTCCATTACAACAGCTCTATTTTATCATACTCTGGTTTTGTTTTTATAAATGCAATGTTGATTCATTTATTCCCATAGGAGCAACTATGGAAAACTGTAAGAAACTATGGAAAACTTCAAGAGTCATGTAAGAAGCAGTTATTAATGAAGAGGGTGTCACGCTGGTCTGTGATGGGCCAATAGTGGAAGTTAGATCTGTTCCAGGTATTTCCAAGAGATCTATGAAATTCTTGTTTACCAAAACTTCAGAAATACAAGAAATAAAAAAAAATTAAATATTGTTTTAATCTAGGACATGGAAGTTTCCCTGACTTCTCTGAGTGATGGCAGTTGATTTACAGCAGTACAATGGAAAAGCAGAACACTTTTTTAACACCTGTATAAGATCATGTGACCATCATCTGCAAACTGCTTTATTTTTCAGTTGATTTGGGTTTTGTTAGGCTTTTGTTTGGGTTCTTTTTAGCTCATATTTTGATAAAGGTAGCATAGACAGATTGTTCTCTTACTTTTCCCATTCTCTTTGTGGTTGATGACATAAGGTCATGTTGGATGGGGCTCTTAGAAACCTGATCTAGTGAAAGGTGTCCCTGTCTATGGCAGAGAGGCTGGATCTAAATGATGTGTAAATGATGATGTAAATGATGCCCCTTCCAATCAGATCCATTTTATGGTTCTATGAAATTAATAACTATTATTATTATTAATCTCTAGAATCAGATAGATAGCATGAGACTACAAGAAAAGCTTGTAGATCTAGATGCTAGGAGTTTTGCTTCTTACATTACTGAAAAAGAAATATTGATTTTATAAAAACCGTGAAGACTGTACAGATTTTATAAAAATGTACAAGAAGATAAGATTAGTTCCAATCTTATTCCTCATTTTTTGGATTTATGTCAGCAGTAGTGTTGTAAATAAAAAATAATCTTGAAATTAAAGCATTTAAGCATGTGCTAGACTTCAGGACTTTTGGCTAAAATCGTGCTTAAATCATCATACAACTAAGTGTGTGCTTAAAGAAGTTCTCTGTGCAATGGTGCAACTATAGTGAGAACTACTCAAACAGAGAGAAACACACACATGTACAGTAGATTTGGCGTGTTTTTTCCATCTAAACTAACCTCTGAAAGTCCTCTGTTTCAAGATATTTATTAACAATGAAACACTCAGTTAAAATGTATCAAAACTATGCACGTATTTGGGTAGCCACGTGGTTGAACTGTACAAATCTATATAGGTAAAGTTATGTTCCAAAATGGCTACTTTTTAACATCTTTTAGTACCTTTGGGAGTCTGACCTCAGATAGGTAATGATCTGTAAAGCAAATATGCAGTCTTAGCATATTTGATGAAAAAATGTCTTCTTTCACGTTTTGTGCCTGAAACTTGATACAGACCATTTTTTGTTTGTGTCTTTTTTATAAGAATAATTAACATTACAAAGGAAAAAACTATTCAGTCATCAAGCTGTTCCTCATAAATGTTTTAATTTCATAGGGATAACAGTTGTCTTTGTAAAAAGAAATCTTCAATAACACTTCAATTAGGTTGAAAACTGTAACTAGGAAAAGTTCCATTTTTAGACAAGAAGATGGAAAGGCAGTTTAGACTTCGTTACTGATTATCTTGTGTTATCTGGAGAGTTTGTTCTGTGAAGCTTGAAAGTGTACCAACATTAATTTTTTTCCACTTGTTTCCATGGCTGATAAAATATCATTGTGGTTCAAAAAGCTGTGTTCCATATTCTTTAATAAGTCTTTTAAAAATGCTTGAATGTTTGAAATGGATGTGGTATTATATAATTTCTTATCTGCCAGGAATTTATGCACTAGTGAAAATACATTTTAATAACAATACAGAACTGATTGAGTTTGATTTTTAAAAATTGAGTAGGAAAAAAGATAGAGGAAGAATATTTTCATGCTTTCAAGTGAATGAACGGGGTACATAAAAGAAATTCAGAATATTCTTAACACCCTCTGAAGGCACTGTGAGATAAGGCTGCTTAATCCCATGGGAAAAACCAAGAATCATCAACTAGATTCTCTGTTCTCATTCCTTTTTTTTTATTTCTTCATAAATTACAGCTCAATGAATACCAATCTTCTTTTGCAATTTCTTATCCCATGTCTTCAAAAATTATTAAAATAAATTCTCTCCTACTTCCTCAGAGCAACGTATATCAAATAAATCTTCATTAAAATTAAACAACTACCTTCTGATTAAAGAAATTTTTAAAAAAGGGTCTAATCTTTATTTAAATTTAGAAAAGAATTGTTGCCTGCGTTTGTAGGAAGTTCAAATTTCATATAGGCTTTGAGTGGACAGTTTGAAATATTTTTCTTTTTTTCTACTGTATTTCTTCTTGCTACTGTTTCACCCAACCTAGCATTTTCAATATAGTTCATGACCTTCCTATCATTTTTTTTCCTTATAGGAAAAAAAATAACAAAATATTTGTAGTGGTCTGTAATAATCTTTATAAGGAGCTGCATAGGTTTCAGACACTTTCTCTTATTAAAAAGTATATATATTTTTTTTTAATATACAGGAAGAGAGTGGATTCCTCCAATCTTCATCGGGATTTGAGAAACCAGAATTATTGAGAGCATTGTAATTTGTTTTCCTTTACTACTTCTATTAATTTCTTATTTAAACTGCAAATGTATACACATTTATTTCTAAGATGATGACAGTGTACTGCATAAAGAAAAAATGCAGGTTCGTAAGAGTGCTCATGTGAGAAAAAAAAAATATGAACAGGAAGTATCATAGTTCCAAAGCCTAGCACAATTAGGCTGTAGTAAATACATCTGAAAGATACCATACTTCCCAACAGGAAGAAAAAGTGAAAAGTAACAGTACTTTTTTTAAAAGTTTAAATGAAAAACCTAATTGTAAACTATTTTACCATGTATTTACAAATCAATTCGTAGTTAAATTGACTGAAACATAGTTTCTCAGGAAAATGACCTAAATCAGCATAAGAGAAGTGAACAAAAAATCAGATATCAAATTAGATTAAAAAAAAATAATGAGTCTACATAGTAGTAGGTTCACTCGAGCTATTTTACATTAGCAGGAAGTATACCCTTTGGATTCTTTGTGGAAACTATTTCCCTCATTTTAGTTGTAAAAATGCACTAATTACCTGAGAAAATCTGATGAATAAAGACTGACTTAATAAACAGGACTATTAGCTTTCCTCACTTGATATCATTTCAGGAGTCTTGAGAATAACAAATGCACTGAAAAATCAATTTGTTCTCCTATAGTTTGTCTCAAAACATATTAAGACATGTATAGATACTGTTCTTTTACATCAGAGAAAAATATTACCTTTGCTATATACTTGTCACTGAGAATATAATTTAACAGAATAAATAGAAATAGAAAAAAATCTTCCTAATTTCAAAGTCTTAAATCCAGACTTTGAAAAATGAAACATTTAGGTTAGTAGCTTTTTTTTAAGAGTTGGTCAAGCTATTAAAAAATCAGTTACTCTGAATCCTTTCAAGTACTAGATAGTGAAAAAAAAAACAGGAAAAAATCCTAAAATACCTACACACATGCACACATTCCTCCCACTCAAGAAAACACTGGTCTTCATATGTGGCCTGCTTCCTATGAAGGTTTCTTCACAAAACTTGCAAAAAGGTTTCTTCAGAAAGCTGTCACGAACCATACTGGTAATTCCAAATCTACATATAAACATTGAGAAGAAAAGAGATGTATTATCCTCTAAGACTCCCCTAAGGTATTGATATGATACCATTAATGTCAAAGGAAAAATAAACTATTATTCTTTTGTTTCTTTTTTTAAAGATGCTGTGCAAATATTATTCACTTCATCCAGAATGCAACATCCAGTCACTAAGCACAAAAGTGTACAAATAAAGCAGACCATTTTTTAATATTAATTATGTGACTAGGGTATTTATATCCTTTTACAGTACTTTAACTCTTTTTATCAAGTATAGATATCTTTAGTTTCCTCAAGAACATAGTATAATTTAGGCAAAAATAAGAGGAATTCATATAGAAAGAATTATATCATACAGAAAGTATTAACAATTATTTTTATGTACCACTGATTGAAATATTTGGAATTTAGGAATATCGCTGAAGACATTTTCTTTCCATCTTAAAATTAAAAAAAAAAATTAAAAATCAACATTTTAAAATTATTTCAATTTTGCATAGGAATGTTTTTTAACCTCAAAGGTGTGTATAATTTTGTGTTTGTGCTTTGATACTCACACACATATAGTGAACAAGGGGAGGACCTGAGTCCTCACTTTTACATGGATTTTCTTTACTTTTACCCTTTTCCTCAGAATGGAACTGGATAGAAAGTGGAGGGGAAGAAAGCTAAAAATCTAATGCAAACTAGTTAAAACAATTTTTTGCGTTGCCAGAAGGAAAAAAAAAAAAGAAAAAAAATGAAGACACTAGAAAAAATTTAGAATACAACAAAAAATAACAAACTGAAAATTACATTTATGATGTTAACTCTGCTTTGTAGGTGTTTTGATTTGGTTTGGGTTTTGTGGGGGTTTTTTTCCATAATATTATGAAATGTGAAACCTGTAACTTGTGTTTTGATTTTTTTGTGGAGGGCAGCTCATTTTTTACTCAAGTATACAGCCTTTAGTTCTGAAGATCTCTCATTACTGGTCAGAATTTATCTTTCTAATAATTACAAGCAATTACTGTGTATTGAAAGGAACAGAAATTCTGCAGATGGAAACATGATGCAAACTCAGAGTGCAAGTACACTCTATTTTCTCTAGGATTTTACCTCTTATTCTCTTTGTGCAATTCCCCCTGTATCTTGATGTAGTCTTTCCCATGCAGCAGAAATTATTTCAGAAACTTCATATTAAACTCTCTAGTCTTCCAAATAATTATCTCTCCTTTTCCTTTAAAGTTCTGGGCACACCAGATCTGTCTTTTAATGTGTTGGACCTGTCTTTTCAATTGTGAATACGGACACTTTCAGTGTCAATAGTCTTGGTTTGCTATCATTCAGATACCACATTTCCCACTGGTGATCTCTTTCAAAGTTAGTACTTGTTCTTGTTCTGTTTGCAATGGCAATATTGCAACCATAGTGCTTCCATGTTAGACACTTCCATTGTCTTTGTGAAGGTCCATACTAGAAACACTTTCCAAAAGCATTTCTCCTGAATTATGAGGTCAAAATTATAAGGCAGTAAAGCATTCTGACAGATCTACTATTCTCTACAGTTCATGGTGTGTTGTGTCTTCCTTCAGCAGTAGGTTCCCAGTTCTAAATTAGGTTACATTGTTTCACAGAGTAATTCAGGTTGGAAGGGACCTCATGACATCTCTAGTCTAATTTTCTGCTCAAAACAGGGTCAAGTTGCACAACTGCACTCTGGATAGCCTGCTTCCCTGTCCTGATGATGAAAAATTTTCTCCAGAACTGTTTTCTATCTGTATTGGTTCTGGTTGAGATTAATTTTTCCCAAAGCAGCCCTCATAGTGCTCTGCCTTGTATTGGTAGCTAGAAAGGTGTTGAAAATGCATCAGTGTTTTGGCTACTGCTGAGCAGTTCTTGGTACAGCATCAGAACTGTCTCTCCAATATTCATCCCTTACTAGAAGGCTGGAGATAGACAAGGTCTTAGAGGGGCACCTAACCAGGACAGCTGTCCCAAACTGACCATATTCCATACCATATCGTGCTTGCTCAGCTCTAAAAGCTGAAAGAAAGAAGGATTGGGGGGACATTTTTTGTTATAACAGTTGTCTTCTGAAGCCACCACAGTACATACTGAAGTCCTACTTCCCAGGAAGTGGCTTGACATGGCCTGCTGATGGAACACAGAGATTAATCTTTTGTTTTTCTTGACTTCACAGCAAAGGAAAATTCACAGCTTTCTTGCACAAAGCTTGTGCCTTTGCCTTGTTAAAATGACTTTGTCTTGAACCATGAGTTCTTTTCCATCTTATTTTCTCCCCTCCCTGTCGTGTTGAGGAGGGGAGTGAAAGAACAGCCTGATGGGCACCTTATTTCCAGCTAAGGTCAACCTACCACACGATCTCACTTGTTTTTCCCTGCTGATGACTGACCATTCCCAGAAACGTTTGCCACTTATATTGCCACAGAATTTCTGAAAGTTGTTGGACTTCAGTTCTTGATACTGGTTCCAAATGAAGCAACTCAAGCCTATGGTAGCAGTTTAGAAGAGAAAATGTAGAAAACATGCATTTCCTCCTTTTCTCAATAACAGCATGGTAAAATTAAGCTTTTTGACATTACTTGATCTCCTTGCTTAGTATCTGAATCAATACTTGTTTCTTCTTCAGCAGGAGAAGATTAATTATGCTTGTCAGTCGGTGTGGGAATCAGGGAAACATTATCCCCATGAATGCTTGTCACTCTGGATAGTAGGTCATGTCAAGACACACTATCAATGTAGAATTTCCATCTGTGAGCCAAGAGTATTCCACCAGAGGTTAAAGTACATTACTGGCAGCAGGAATTTTGTTTGTTCCTCATATCTGAAAAGCCTGAAACTTCTCTCAGAGGTATGTGAAGTTTAAGTTTTTTCAATAATCTATGTTCATTCAGAAGAGTGTGAGATCCATCACAGAGCTGATTCTTGTGGGTTACTGTTCAAAAGTATACACATAGTAAAGTTATTCACACGAATATTATTTGGATTAAAAATACCATCTGACTTGAGGGAATACATCTTCAGAATGAAAAGGTAGACTTAGATTAGTGGTGGGTTGAACCTGGCAAGATGCCAGGTGCCCACCAAAGCCGTTCTATCATTTGCCTCTGTAAGTGAACAGGGGAGAAAAAAATTAACAAAAGGTCGTGAGTTTAGGTAAGGACAAAGAGAGATCACTCTTGATTACCGTAACAGACAAAACAGGCTTGACTTGAGGAATTTAATTGAATTTCTTACCAAACAAAATCAGAGTAGGATAATCAGAAGTAAAACAATCCTTAAAAACACTTTTTCCCCACCCTTCCCTCTTTTTCAGGCTCTACCTCTTTCTCCCCGGATACACATGGAGATGGGGAATGGGGGTTACAGTCAATTCATCACAGGGTATTACTGCCGCTGGTCAGGGAGCAGAGTCCTCCCCCTATTCCAGCATGGGGTCCCTTCCACAGGAGACAGTTGCAAGTCCTTCCCATGTGCTATAGCTCTTCACAAACTGCTGCAACATGGGTACCTTTCCAGAGGGTGCAGTCCTTCAAAAACAGCCTGTTCCAGTGTGGGTCCCCCATAGGATCACAAGTCCTACCAGGAAACCTGCTCTAGTGTGGGTTTTTCTCTCCACGGGTCCATGGGATCCTACCAGGAGCCAGCATGGGCTTCCCAAGGGGTCACAGCTTGTTCTCACTCCACTCTTCTCTGAGCACAGTTACAGATCACACAGAATATGCTGAATTGGAAGCGACCCACAAGAATCATCAAGTCTAACTCTTAGCCCTGCAAAGGACCAGCCCCAAGAGTCACACAATGTGCCTAAGAGTATCATCCAAAACACTTCTTGAACTCTGTCAGGCTTGGTGTTCCCCGGGGGAGCCTGTTCCAGAGCCCAGCCATCCTCTGGATGAAGAACCTTTTTCTAATGTCTAACCTAAACCTCCCCTAACACAGCTTCAGACCATTCCCTTACCTGTTGTACAGGTTTTTGTGGCCAGGTTTTGATAGCAGAAGGGCTACAGGGGTGGCTTCTGTGAGAAGCTGCCAGAAGCTTTCACCATGTCCTGTAGAGCCAACATCAGCTGGTTATAAGACAGACCTGCCAGTGGCCAAGGCCAAGGCAGGTAGGAATGATAGTAACGCCTCCATAATAACATATTTAAGGACGAAAAAGTTGTTGGGCAGATGAAAACTGCAGCCAGAGAAGAACAGAGTGAGAACATGTGAACAACTCTGGAGACACCAAGGTCAGTGAAGAAGGAGGAGGAGGAGGTAATCCAGGCATCAGAGTTGAGGTTCCCCTGCAGCCTGCGGTGAAGACCAAAATGAAGCAGCTGTGACTCTGCAGCCCATGGAGGTCAACAGGGATGCAGAGTTCCACCTGCAGCCCATGGAGGACACCCACACCAGAGCAGGTGGATGCCCGAAGGCGGCTGTGACCCTGCAGGAGGCCCATGCTGGAGGAGGTTCCTGGCAGGGACCTGCTGACCTGTGGAGAGAGGAGCCCATCCTGGAGCAGCCTGTGCCTGAAGGACTGCATCCCATGGAAAAGTGACCCACATTGCAGTAGTTTGTGAAGAACTGTTGCCCAGGGGATGGACTCACACTGGAGAAGTTTGTGGGGGACTGTCTCCACAGGGAGAAGGGGAAAGACTCCTTTCTCTGAGCAGCAGCAGCAACAACCTGTGATGAACTGAGTGTAACTCCCATTCCCCGTCTCCCTGAACTGCTGGTGGAGGAGAAAGTAGAACTTGGGAAGGAAGGAGGGATGGGGAAAGATGTTTTTAAGATTTATTTTACTTCTCATTCTCCTTCTCTGATTCTGTTAGTAATAAATTTAATTAATATCCCCACTTTGAATCTGTTTTGCCTATGACAGTGATCAGTGAGCGATCTCCCGGTCCTTATCTCAACGCATGAACTCTTCGTTATATTTTCTCTCCTCTGTCCAGTTGCAGAGGGAAGTGAGAGAATAGCTTTAGTGGGTTCCTGGTGACCACCCAGGGTCAACGTGCTGCATCTATACAATAACTTTTTTTCCTTCTTATATATGTTAACACAAAGATATTACTACCTTCTCTGATTGGCTCAGCCTTGATCAGTGGCAGGTCCATCCTGGAACCGGTTGGCAATGGCTCTACCAGACATGGGGGAAGCTTCTGGCAGCTTCTCACAGAAGCCACTCCTGTAGCCCCTCCACTACCAAAACCTGGCCATGCAAATGCAATAAAATAAAGATATCTTTGTACTGGTTAATTAGCTGTTTCCTAAATCATATTTTTCAGGTTGTCATCTAAATTACTTTCCACCTATCCTTTTCTTTTGACTCACCTTAGTGAGGGGAATCTTATGCACAAATACAAGTTAAATTATCATTGCTTACAAGATTTTCAGACAGGTATCTATGTACGCATAAACATATAAATGTACGTATAGATAGATAGGTAGATATTAAAAATGTTAATTTCCCCACACAAGAAGCCTTTATAGATATCTTCAGGTCTTCATTGTAATTCCTCAGAAAGCCAATTAAAATTCTGTTTTTTCATGCTATCTTCAAAGCACCTCACAACTGGTAAATTCATAGATTCTAAAACCACTGCCTAATATGATCTCTGGGCTTTATTTTACCACTCCTAGCCTCCAACCATCTGTCTCACTCCATCTGTTGTCTCGTCTTCTACTTAGTTTGAAAATTCTTTGGATAGGGATTGTCTTCTTGGCTCACGTTTGGTAGAGAGATCCTGGCCTCTAATAGACTTCTAAGAATTATGGTAATACAAGTAACAGCAAGAATCAACTTATTTGTCAGTTAAGAAAGTATATTGCAATGTAGTTCAACCAAATAGAAGGTAAGATAACTTTTACAACATCTGAAAGACTTCATTCCTGTGGCAATGTTTAATGCCTTACATTCAACATATTTCTGTAACAGTAATTTTCAAGTGTCTGTATGCAAGCAGTAAACATTATTACAACTGACTACGCTGAAATTGTAATTCACTCAGTAGGGCAATACAAGTTAAATCCCTCAGTTTTCTGATATTTTACTGGTTTTTTTGCTTCTTCAAGTTTAGAGTTGCTGATTTTTTCTTTTTTTTTTCTGATTTTTTCTGATTTTTTCTGATTTTTTCTCTTTGCGTGAGTATTGATAATGTAGTTTGTGGGAATATGCTACACTATTAGTCTGAGCTAATCAATGGGAAAGAATCTGAACTGAATTTTGCTTTATATCCACCTTACTCAACCTAATTACACTGGCTGTTTATACAGTTTCTTTTATTTTTGTCAAAAAAATATATTAGTAACTAAGAAAATAGAGTATTGCATCCCTCCACAATTAAAGTCTAGTCAGATTGTCCATTTCCATTTTCTCCACAGAGAAGCTGTTGGATTTTACTTTAATTCCAAGACCATTATGAAAGATCACCTTAATTATAGGATTCTTGGCACGGCATTTATGTTGTCATTCAACTTGATCGATTCATATTGCTAAGTTGTCAGTCTAAAATGTATCAAATTTATTTTCAAAATGTATTTTCATTAACTATTTACCTGTTCTTTGCCTGTAATATAAGATGTGCCTTTCAAAAAACTTAAAAATACTTATACAATTTTGATTACAGATTTTGATCTTGACCCTCATTCAGAACCTCTCCATGTCAAAACACTGAACCTAAGGAAATTGCTGCAGATTTATTGTTGGATTTGACCTCAGAGTCAGTAAGGCTAAATGAAAACTATAAGGAAGTAAATAGTATGTATTATCTTATGATGTATATTCATATGTTCTAGCTTTTTAGAAAATGTAAAACTTTCTTTGGTAAGTTTCCCTTGATCATATGACATCACTATTTTAGAAGAGTTTTACACAGATCTGCATATGAAAGTAGGAGCAGTAGAGGTCTATAATAATTGATGAAACAGAAGTAAATACAGAAAAAATACAAACAATATTTTGGTTGCTAAAAAAGGACATACTTGTTTCTCATTCTGGTGGTGAATTCAGATGACATTACAATGATCTTTGTTGTTACCATAAAAATCCAAAAATGCTTATGTACATTTTAGTTTTCTCTCCTGCCAGAAATATTCACATATAAAACCAAGTAAAAAAACAATCCTATAGACCATTATTGTTGGAAAGAATTTAAAAAAAAAAAAAGGAAAACTACTGATCTTATATAATGTAAATATAGAAATCTATTTCAGCAGTTAATGTGTTGAAATAACACATCCCAAGCCAAAAGTTACAGTGGTTAATTAACCAAAATAGACTAGACCATTATCTCTGAAAATTTCCAGCCCCTCTGAAAGTTGTGCTAAATCTACAACCTGTAATAATATATTGTTGATGAAATATTTTCCTTCTTATGGGCTGAACATTTGACTCACATGCTTGCCTCCTGCTCTATCAGAAACCTGGTGCAAGGACGAAGAAGACTCTGAATACCAGAAAAAAGCATTTACTTGTGCCTAATTTCAAAGAGATCGATGAGTTTGTAACTACCTCACCTCTAATTCTCTGTGGTAAAGAAAGGAGGGCAAAGAGCAGAGGAATAAAAGTTTTTGGTAATATGATTAAATGCTAGTCATAGTTCAGTGTAGAACAAGTATACAAATATTATGAATCAGTGCCACTGTATTGTCTTCATTATCTTTCAGTTCATGGTAGTGCATCTTATTTTCTCTTTCAGTTTTCCTTGATTTAATAACTACCACATTAAAACACTTTAGTAGATGGTAAAAAATATTTACAGACTTCTGAGTGCCAACAATATTACTGTAATTATCATAGAAGTGATGTACAGCATTAAAGCCATTCTTATTTAAGAATTTTTTATTTAAATAGTGCAGTTGAAAAGCACGATCAAGTAACTGCAAAACAGAGCCAAGGGAAGCAGAGAATCCACTTCATTGTTTAGGACAGTAAATTTATCTCCTTTACTCAGTGATCCTGCTTGTCATATAAAACTGTGAGGGCAGAGCTGTAGCTCAGTAACATAAGGCTTATTAAAAATAAAATATATTTCAACTCCACTTTTAAAGTGGTAAAACACAAATTAATTAGAATGATGCCAAATAAATTATGCTACTTATGTTTTAGAAGTGCTCAGCAAGTTTATGTAGACTGAGTTTTAGGTACTCAACTTGAAGTAAACACGCACTTTATTTGCATAGAAACAGTACAACTAGAGTAAGATAAGTAATGTAAAAAAGGCCTATGTTTCTTTTCATCAATATTTTTTAAGATAATTTCCTCTGCCATATTAATATATATTATGGGATAGAAATCGTCTTAAATGAAATCTCATATTTTTTTTTTCTTACATATTCCCAAAATTTTTAGAGATATAGACAAGCATGTATACAAGTTTTATTTTTTTCCTTTAGATAATTAAATGCTGGCAGTTTTATTGATAAATGTATGTCAGTCTTCAATGTGTCACCTAAATACTCCTGTTATATTTATTTTAATGTCTTGTTGGGGATTAACTGCATTATTTAGTTTTGCCTATGGTTTAAGGAAAATGTTATCCTTTCTTCCAATGGAGGAGGATTGAAAAAAAAATAAATAAATAAAATAAATTAAGAATCTTTTTAAGTTGTTCACTACCCCTATGTTCTGGAAAGTAATAAAGTGATTACACTGCAAAATCTAACAAAAAACTGCCTTTCATTTTAAACGAAATTTCTGAGTTAAATGGTTACCAAACCCTGTTACTGAATGCTACATAAAGGACAGAAGCCTTTTTTATAAGAGCATACAGAGGACTGATGGAAAGAGGAGTTACAGATCTCGCAGCTTATAATGCTGATCTGCAGACCCATGGTCTTAGAGGCAGACCCCTCCTTTGACTCAGAAATATAACTGGATAACATTTAAAACAAAAGTTCTGAGAGATTTGACTACTCTGTTCTTCTCCATTTCAGAAGAACCAGGAGGCACAAAGGCATGATACTTATTTTGAACTTTACACTTCTGTAAGAGTGGAAACATACTTAAAAATTGATTTTCCCATTATAGGTAAATATTTTCTCTCTTAGTCCATCTAATACATGTTTAGTTTGTGATATTTTTAGAAGGCAAAGGCTGTAAATTTGTGGGTAGTATTTAGTTGTTTTTTTGTTCCTCCAAAAAAAAAAAAAAAAAGTGTTTTAGTGTTTAATTTGGGTATTCATTTCTTCCCAGATCTCATGAGCTGGCACCTTGTTGTAAATCACAATAAAGCAGAAACATCTCAGAAGAGATTCTACAAGTATAGTCTACCTGTTTGATGTAGAACCCTGAAGGTTAATAGAGGCACCATAATTCTCACAAACGTTCCTGGTGTCTCATCCACTGTGAATTCAGTTGCTTATGCGATATCAGGGCTCCATACATTCAAGTGACTGAAAAATGTACTGGGTAGGATTACAATTCCGAAACACACCTATGTGTTTATGTGGCATATTTGCATTTCAGGTTTTATATGAAATTGTGAAATAACTTCTGATCTATTTATGTAGGTATGACAGAACTTTTAAAGAAGAAGGAAATTATTATTCCTGCTGGGCATAGCTTCTACACAATTTTTCATTAACTTCCTTGGCTGCTAAGAGCCCAATTTTAGATCAAAGGATATTTTTGGGGAAATCAGATATCTCTCCTCTTTTTCTAATAATTTATAATTAACAGATAAAATTGATAACTTTATTTCCAAGTCTCCCAGCATCCCCAGCTAACAACATGGTTTCAAAACTAAATATTCTAATTAATAGATCTTAATTTTCCCAGATAATTTGATTTTTCTTTAAGCAACAATCATATGGTGAGAATCTCTTTGCATCAAACTCTTTTTCTCCAGTCTGAAAATTATAAAACAATTTATGTTCTAATCACTGCTTTTTCTGTTTGGTTCAACTGTTAATTTATTCTGTAAGTTATAGGACTTCTAATTAATCTGGAAGATTCTATGACTATTTAGAATGCAGGGTGAGCTAAGCTTCATTTGAAAAAGAAATCTAATTATTTTCTTAAATCCTGAATTTGCAAGTAAAAGATTGTATGAAGAACTGAAATGAAAGTTCATGCTAAAATATGAACACTGGTTGTGACATACTGCAGCTACCCTAACTTAAAGAAGACCTTCAAAATCAGAATGTTTTAAAGTTATCAAAAAAAAGTCTTAGAGGAGCTAGAAATGCACTGGAGAATACACTGAGAAGTTCGGGACAGGCAACAGAGAGAGGTAGATAAAAGATAGGGCTTTAAACAAATATAATGGAAACACAAGAAAGATTTATTATTAAAAGAAGAGATAGGAAAAAAAAAACTCTAAAACAGATAAAGAAAACTGTGTTGCTGGATTTTTTTAATGCATCTTGTTAGACATCTGTTTTTAGGTGTGAATTCTTTCTCATGCATTTTAAACACTCGCCATGGTGTTTCATTCCAATAAGTGAATGTGTGGACTTTATTTTGCTTTCCTAGGGAAGTAAATCTATTTACTTAATCCAACACATAACTAATTTTACTTCTGATAAAGAAATAGAAAACCTATAACAATTTTTAAATACTGAAAATTTAATTGACCTAATTTGGATATTAGGAAATTATTTTGTAAAGCACATTTGGAGGGTGGAAGAAAAAATAAATTAACTTTCCTAAGGAATTTTTTACTTGTTTCTAGATAGCAGAAAATTTTAAAATTTGCACTTCAGATGTCATCGATTTTCTCTTTTGATGTATTTAGAGTTATATAAACCCCAGTTATTTCTAAAATTTTAAAGAGGAATTAGTTGTTTTAATAGGACAAAGTGTCTAGGAGTCTTTTGAATTGACAAAACTTCATCTAACATTGCTGTCTAAGAGATCATATAAATTTGATTCTATGTTTAAGTTAAGCTTATTCATCAATTATTGGGCTTGACTGTACATTCAGTGAAGTCATAGGTAAAGTCATTACCTTAAAAAAACCCTTATTTTTTTAATTGCTTTGGGCTGTATTTACTGAGCTCCTGCCAAGATACTGACATAGATCCCACTCAAACAAGAGTTTAAGTCTGTGCTTAAGTCTAAGCACATACTTTTATCTAATTAAAATTCTAGATGGATGTGGCAGACTTCCAGCCTTCAGTCTTAATACAGTTGGAACTCACAATTGGATCAGAAGGAATTATGCTTTCAGTAAGAAAAATATCAGTCCTGAGGGATGGGGGTTTGATGTTATCCTAGAAACAAAGGAGAAGAAAAAGTCCAATCATGTATTCTGAAATCCTGTCTATATTGCACTCAGCAATCATTTGATACCTTCAGTGAAAAAAGAACATCTTCCCTTTTGTAATAAGAATCTGTTACAGAAGGATTCTGGAACGGAGCTGTTACATACTACAGAATCCATAAGACCCAAAGTATCATGAAAGTGGTATCAATGGATGCCAGTCATTTTCTCTCACATAAATACTTCCAAAGACCAACGAGATATTTCTCAGAAGTTTCTTTGTTTCTTAGTGATTTCCTTGCATAATTTTCATTTTTCTTTCAGAGAATACAGATCTTATTTTTCATTCTGAATTCTAATGAACGTATGGTTGACTGAGAGATAGTGCATATTCTGATCTTTTATAATCACCAATAAAAGTGGAAATAATATTTTTAGATGACTTAGTATTTAGGTTACCCCTACGTGCTAGATCAGTTGTCCTTAACACACCATTTGAAATGAGAGTCTGTCATGAAATAGTGCTGAATACCAAAGAAGACTTCAAGATTTTCTCAGTTCTATGCTGCTCTGATACTTGTATCCATGTAAGCCTGGATAATCCACCTGCATATTCATCCCTTCCTGTGAAAGGTAAGAGGCATTATTAACAAGGATTGGGTTATGACATTGTTTTACAAAATACCACATAAGAATAATTCTCTGTTTCAAATTTAAGAATTTCAAAGTATGGTAAAACTGTAAATAAGAATTGAGATGGTAGCCAGCACTGTTGTATGGCTTTGTCCTAAATTCACATGAGTATGCCACAACTGGGTACATGTGTTTTATTTCTGTTATAAGAGTTATTAAAAGAGGCTTTTGGTCAGTAAACAGTAATGTAGCAACGTCATCCAGCAGAAAACTTTAATGAAATTTTGCTTAGTGCTAGGCAGAAAATACAATTCCTTACAATAAATATCTTACAACTTTCTCTGTCCCTTTAATGACACCTAATAAAGATAACATCAAGTATTGGTAGCTATTCAGTAGAATAAAAATCCCAGAAAGTATTCACTGTAGAAACTAAAAGTCTCATATAAACTTCAATGACTTAATGAGAAGAACCTATTTCGAAGGGTGGGTCAGCATTACAGCTCTGAGAAAACATTGTCTTATTCTGGAATAGTAGAATTTTGATTCCTGAATGTTGGGGAATCAGCTTCTCCTAAATTTAATTTAATTTTTGTTGGTTTTCTGATGGTTCGATGTGATTTTAAGATAAATAATTTCAAGCCTATAAGGGCACAAATAAAATGTTTTTTGATGTTTGATAGAATATTTTTCTTGTCAGCAGAAAAATTATCATGATGAAAAGTAAATAAAATGACTGATATGTTTAAACTAGTCTTTGTACAAATAATATTGTTTTATCACAAGTCAAAGTATTACTGTAGTTCTGTACCTTTTTTTTTCTTTTACATGAGATTATATAACACTGACAAAGCAGTTTAATTTATAAATTCTGGTTGGAATCTGGTATTTAGAGGTGGGCTTTATTAAATGGTTGTAATTTTAATGTTTCATATTTCAAGCTCTTATTTGCCTTCTAAGCTTTCAAAATTGAATTATTTGAAAAGTGCTATTGATGTCAAATAGCAAGTTTAACTCTACCTAATCATGCATAGACATAAAAAAAACTTAACTATGAGATAAAATAAGAAAACTTACCAGTTAAGAAAAAATAAAAAAGCAAAGTAAAATGAAGATTTAAAGTCACTGTCTGGAAATGGAAAGGAACAGAGAAACCCATAATGTGTTACCAATCTATAAATAAGCAATTAAATTTATTGGCTATAGCAGAAGAACTTACATGTTCACTCTTGTGAATACAGGCTACACAGTCTGGCCTTGAAAGACTACTTCTGAATAAAGAATCCAGTAACATAAAGCAGTATTGATTTGCAAGATAAAAAGAATTAAACTTTGAATGAACTTTAGGGACTCTTTTTTTTTTTCCAAACAGTGGCAGTTTTGTACCAGTTATGCATCCAGGGGAAAAAAAAAAAAAAAAAAAAAAGCAAACATTTTTGGTGATGAAGATCATCATGGAGAGAAAACTTTTCTTTTATAAAGTATTATTTTTAACAGTTATTTTGAAATCCACCTCCTTGTTGCCCCATCCTATCTTTGACCTTGTCAGTTTTAATAGGTTTTAACTTTTATTCAACTGTCACATTCTTGCTATCATCTTCCTTACTAAAAAAGTTACCATCTGTCTGAACCAACAATATTTTCATTGTTAAGGCATCTTCTCCCGCAACATATGTCTTCAATTTCTAATATGAATCAGAATTCTTGGAGAATGTTGTCAACGATCATGCCACCAATCTGATTGAATCAGCCTTGACATTTTGCCAATTAAACTGTGCACTTTAAAGAAAATTATAAATAGTACTTGCTTTGTTACAAAGTTCAGTATGGCTCACTAGGATAATGAAACATAGAATTTCCTATATTTTTTGGGAGAGTAATGTAATAACAAGAATTTCAGTTTTGTGGTCCAATTAATAAATTACTTTTGTAGTAGTTTACTTCTATGTAGTAGCATTTTTTTTTAAAAAAATAGATATTTTTAGAGGATTTTTTAATATCTAAATTATCAAGTGAATTAAATTAATAAAACATACATTTGCATAATTCTGGAAGCATGACATAGTATAAAAAAAATGTTCAGGTCATGGAATCTATGACAAATTATGATGTTGTCTACTTCTTGCACTCTAATTCTTGATTCTAAAGTATTCAGTGTATTATTACATTCACAGACATGATAATTTGACATTTTTTCCTCACTAACAGAATTTCAAAATATATATTGCCATTAGAAAACAAAAACTTTTAAGGACTTGAGAGGAAATGGAAGAGAACAGAAGGTTCAAACATGGATGGAAAGAGTCTTTATTAAGATTTACTTCTGAGAATAGTTTTCAGGAATACTGGTTTCAGCTGGAAGAAATTAGGAACCCTTGGAGCCTTCAGTATTACTGCCTATATATAGCATATCCTGTACTGGGTTTTTTTTGTAGATCTTTGAACAGTTTAGTCCTGCAAGATACTGTATGTCTTGTCTCCTCCATATGAAAAATTTTCAAATAAAGCTAGTTGAACATTTTCCAGCAGAGGTATTCTTCAGTGTAAAATTATATTTTGACCACACAGATTTCTTCTTAAGAAAAAAATCTGCTTTTCAGAATATTTCTTTGGGAGTTTTTGTCTTAAAAACTAGGTAGTCCAATCTTAATAAATCTCAAATGCCAAAGAAAAGGTAAAATATTATTGCTTAATAACTCTGGGTTTGGTTTTTTGTTTTTTTTTTTTCAGTTTTCATGTATAGTTACATCATATGTAACTGCATATGTATGTGACATTACATATATATGCTACACCACATGTAGACATCGCATTGTCTGGATGTGCATGCAGCGGGATGCCAGATTCAACGTGCTCCCCTTAGTATACAGAAAGAAATATAAAAGGACTTTACTCACACTAAAACCCTGAATTTCTTCATGTGAAGTGTTAATTGTTGCCAAAAGCTAATCCAATCTTCTTCACTCAGAGTGGGAAAGAAGAACTATTGCTCTAGGCAGCTGGGAATTTCTCTGTGAAGCTCTCCACCAGATGAACAGCAGATCTGAGACAACTGACTTCATGAAGCTATTCTTCTTTAAATCTGAGTTCTGTTCTCCTCCCGTTTTTTAAGCTGCTTTGGACAGTTCTGTTACCTATTCTGTGTATTTCAATAAGGAGTAGGTGGGGCTGCTGGTTTTGCATTTATGAAGGAGTAATTTGCCTGCAGAAAGGGTAAACATCACTGACTATGCAGCAAAGTTCCTATGTACACCCCCTGGGAATGAACTCATATCTTTGCAGAATACATGCATATATATTTGCAATGGGGAAGCCTTGAGTAGGGCCATGGAAAAACACCACAAAATTATCTTATATTTCCAACAGTAAATGCAGTTGTGTTACTGAGTCATAGTTCCTTTCATGAGATAGAGCAGTAGACTTGACCTACCTATCACACAAAGCCTCAGTTTATCTCTAAGCTGTAATTTTCTTACATTACTAAAACCCTTGTACAATGCTCTGGGCATAGAAGTGGCATAGTATTTAATAATAACTGAAGGGTGATTGTAATTCTTCTACATATACACACAATGATTTTCAATAAATGTAAACAGCTAAAATTGAAAAACGAAAAGAAAGAAATTACAAACATAGGAAAAAATAAGTCACAATTATAGAGCAAAAGATGACAGAGAATATACTTTTAATTCCACTTGGCAGGGAGAGATTGGCCTTTGATTTCTGTAGCTGGGACATAGAATATCTGTATTTCATGAGAAAGTAAAAGCTTGTGTCCATGACCAGCGTAATGAGTATTTGTTAAGGTCTCACATTTCTAAAATCTGAGTCTCATTTATTTTAAGACTGTACTAATTTTAGGAGAACTATCAAGCAAAGGCACATTTTTAAAACCCAACAGCAGTTTACATGAGGAACCTTTATTTCTTGTGTCAGTATTTACCTAAAATGAGATTATTGACAATCATTATTATGTTCTTTCTTGCCTTTTAAAAAAGACACTAAAAAAGAAAAAAGAATTACAGCAGATAAGATACTTTATTTCATGGTGAGAATAACAACCAAGTTGAGACTTATGTAGAATGAAATTTGTATTCCAGTCAATGTTCATGTGTATAATCAAGTACTGTGTGCAGTTAAATGAGTCTGTTGTCTTGCTGTAATGAGTATCTACATCCATCCTAACAGTTAATGAGGAATAAATGACTTATTATCAATGAATGGCAGTATCTAAATAGCTTTGCTACAAAAACAGAATATTAATATGTGTAGCTAAAATAGATCTTAAATGATAATGGACTTATTCAGACTATTAATTATTTTAAAAACCTCTAGTAAGGTTTACTGCTTCTGGATGGAATTGGAGCTCAACAGGTTCAAGTGCCCTTACATGTTTGCAGACAGAGTTAACAAATGACCCTTTAAAATTGTGTCTTAGAGCTAAATGGAAAAAGGGTTTTTATGAAATACATGTGCTACCATGAAAAATCAGACTGCAGATCTCTGTAGTTCAGTATTTTATTCCCACCAGAAATTAGGCCTACTCACTTCAGTGGAAGCAGCAGGAACTGTCTCTATAGCTGACCTTGCATTTTAACTGACTCACCTCCTCATGATCAACTGAGGGCGAGCCTGTGCCGTGAGGTATAAAGGTGATGCCTTTTACTATCATTTTTTTAAAAAAACAATGTTTTCTAGTACAGTGAAAAGATCTCATTGTCACATAAATGTCAAATTAATTTCTTAGCTCTTGGTCTCAGTGATACCATGTTCAGATCATGAAAATACAACTACTGCAGAAATTTGGCTTGTTCAATTATTCCTGGTATTGAGTAAATGCAGTGACCTCGTATCTACGTAGACTAACAAATTCTCGATGGAGAATTAATTGTGGAATTTCTTTTAATTCTTCCCAGTTTTAGCCAAGTTCTCAGCTATTATTTATATCTAGGAAGCTATTCCCAGAGCTTGTCTTGATTCAGGAAAATTAA